TGACTCGTAAGAGAGTCATGACTGTTAAGCTCGGCGAATTCATTCCGTCGGAGGCTAACTGGTCCCCGCCTGGGACGAAGATGGATTGGCGAAGTTTGTCGACCAGCCATATGAAGGTCCAGATTGGACAGCAGGAGTACTCGGCACTTGTGGATGATGGAGCCGAGATGAACATCATTCGTGAGCGCCATGCCATCGAAGCTGGGTTGAAGATCAACCGAGATGACTATGGGTTTTTAGTAGGAGCTAGTGGATCAACTCCATTTTGCGGAACAGCCAGTGGCGTTCTCGTCACGATGGGAAAGGTCAAGGTCCGTTCGTATTTCTACGTGTTACTTAGAGTGGAACACGAGGTGCTTCTGGGAAGGGCATTCCTATGTCGATCGGAGAGCATCATCATTAACAAGCATGATGGAACCATGTTTGTAGTCCTTTGTGATCCTGTCTGCGGTTATTACGAAGTGGTCAAGTGTGCGAACACTGGACCCTATTGCTCGCGGAACCGGCTGAACCCGGAATCCTATAGCTTCCCGGAGTCAGAAAAGTTGARACGGGAGAAKGAATCGTTAGGGGAGGAGCCAAATGCTCGTGAGTTCTCGCTGACCCTGCCTGATATTGGGCAGACAATCGAATTTGTGTCGACACATGCGGCGATTGATCCAAATGTGGTGCAAGCCTTGACGGAAATCATCACGGACACCGAAAGCGTAGGAACTATGCGCCTCGTTTACTCCCCGTCGGAGGGGAATAAGGGAGAAGATCAGGAATTGCCCTCCACCCGACAGGGTCCTTTTTTAGAGGACGCAGGCTTGACACCGGCGCCAAACGTAAGTACAAGAAAGTAGACGTGAAGGCGAAGCCGGTACCTGTTCTGATCACTCAAGAGGAGGAAGTTTATTATCGTGAGGAGCGGGAGTGGATCAAAGGAATGAAAGAGAGAGGTGAAAATGGGCCATGTCGGTTAACCAAAGAAAGAGTGGAAAGTATGATCATTAGGGAGGAGGACCTCCTTACTGAGCAGGAAAAATAATATATCATCGATATATTGAAGGAGGAATATCTCTCCTATGCGTTTGATGATGATGAGCGAGGGAAGCTGGATGTCGATAAAATTCGCGATGATCAGAGTTCATACTGTACCACACGAACCATGGAATGTAAGAGGGCCACGTTATCCGAATCCGAAAGATCACCGTAAAGTGGTCACGTATCTCGATGGAAAGATCCGGACAAAGGTTGCAAATTATTCTTATGGGCCGTATGCATCTCCATGGATGTACCTCGTGAAAGGCAGGAGCATTCCATATCGATTTCCCATGCCGAGTGGTTGCATCAGTCAGGTAGGCAAGAGTGTTAATACTCAATCGCGCCTCCTCTTCCTTCAGAAAGGCATCGACCGGAACTGATTCTTCCGCCTGATCCGCCTCTGGGTCCCATTCAACCCGACTCAACCTATCGGCACGATTCTGACTCCCCGAAATCCGCTCGATTTCAAAGTCAAACATCCAAATATAAGTCAACCATCGTGCAATGGTTGGATCAGCAGGTGAATAATTCCTTAAGGATTGAGCCAATGCAGTCGGATCCACCCGCAGGATGAAGCGTCTACTGAACACATAATTCCGAAAGATGCGGAAGCAGTGAAGCACGACCAAAGTTTCTTTTTTGAACTCGAAATAGTTCCTCTCAACAACATTCAGAGTCCTGCTCTCAAATCTGAGAGGCCTTTCCTGCCCCTCAGCATCCTTCTGAATCAAGACCCCTCCTAGGGTTGTGGGCCCCGCATCAGTCTCAATAACAAACGGACGTTTATCATCATCGTCAAAAAAAGGAACTCCAAGGATCAATCCGCCCTCACGGAACTCAGTTTTTATGTCTTCCACGGCCGCTTGCTGCTTCGGACCCCATCCCCACTTCTGGCCTTTGCGCACAAGCTTTCGCAAGTGCTCCACTCTGGCGGCAAACCTGCGGATGAAGATGCGCCAAAATCCACAGGTTCCAAGGAAACTTCGCACATCCGTGATTGACTTGAAAGGGGTCGGCCATTCCAAAATTTTATTAGTCTTCTTCGCATCCGGCCGGCGACCTTTCTTATCGCAAAGGAATCCCAAGATCACTGCTCTCTTCATACAATGTCGACACTTAATCCCACTAGCTGTGGGATAAAACTCTTTCAACCTCTTAAGGACTTTCACCACATCATTGATATGTTCCCAAACAAATCGGCGAATGCCAGGCAACACCTCCGCCAGGTCTTTCGTATGAGACCCTGGGATACCCAAGTCATCAATATACGACGAAGTTATGTTAGGACAATAAGGTTGCATAACCCTCGTCATATATCTCTGAACAATGGCAACGACATTTGTCCACCCCTGCGGTGCCACACACATATGGATCAACCCGCGAGGAGTATGCATCGCCATCTTGGGCCGATCCGCAGTGTAAATGGGAAATTGATCATACCCGGAATATAAATCGATCAGGGTGATGATGGACCTCCCTGCACAAGACTCCGACAGTAGGTCCGCATGTGGGAGTCCACCTGCATCTCGCACTGTCACCGAATTCAGCTTCTGAAGGTCCTGA